AATTGATAGAGCAAAAGAGTGGCATGCGACCAAACACAAGCACAGGCTCTAAATATCAATAGCGCTGTGGAGTACTGAACAGAGTGAGAGGAGGAATTTGTACTTTTTGGAGAAAGAAGACTGGATTCAAATAGAAAGTGTGAAGGTGATTGAATGTTGGAAGGCCTAGTTGTGTTAGGTTTGGAATTTCCATTATTTTGTTGGTGAGCAGATGGATCGGAATTCATAATTGCTGGGTCATGATTTTCCTTTTCTTCTTCATCACTCGACGAAGAAGCATCAGGCGACACGAAGGAAGAATTCTTTTCGACCTTTTCTGTTCTTTTTTCGTTAGTTGAGTGAAAGAAAGAGGGCGATGGTGCTGTTGTTGACGGCGTTGGCTTTTTGGAAAGAGGTTTTGGTTGAGCTTTTAAAGATTGGAAACCCTTTACTCGTGAAACCCACCATGAACTCAACAGCAGCAACACTAACACACAAATATTGTTGACCAGAAACACACAACTATGAACGCTGAGCATGGATGGTACTTCAATTCGAGATGGAACTCGATAGAGGTCAACATGCTCGTGTAGTATTTGATGTGAGAGGCTCATCGTTGATGTTACTGATTGAATGAGAAGAAACCCAATGTATTAAAGAAAAGAGAAAATCTAAAGAGACGGCTCTCCACAGAGTTGTTGAGAGAAGTGTGATGTGGTTTGTTTGTCGCGACGAAATTTCGCAATTTTTAAGCTCTGAGTGTCCCAGCTCCATTTCCTTAGATAATAATTGATTCCATAAGCACACATAAAATTCGTATCACTGATCGAACGACCGACAATGCGCGCTGACAGCTCAAGTCAGCGAGACTTTTCGATGGCAAATGGACCAATTCCATAAAATGATGTTTCCAAAAAATGTCGCAAACCAATTTGGGTTGGCATGAAGAAGAACCCATGAAAAGATGGGCTTTGAAAACCCGTGATCGTGCCAGTCAAAGAAAGCTCGAGTCGAATGGAAAAGAACAAAATGCTTCACCATAGTGGTCATTGTGGTTTCAGTGATTGACTTTGATGATGAAATACTCCAGAATGTTGTGAGCCAGATCTTACTGGAGAGATTGGCTCGAAATCAATTCTAATTAGCAAGATGTGGTCACATGAGGTGTTTCATGATGAAATCCAATCTTTGATAAAATTATTATTATTATTATTCATCGTAAACATTGCTACACATGACTATTTTGTTCCGTTCATGTTCTGGTGATTACTACAATCCCGTGTTATAATATTAAATAATAAATTTAGAGTGCTTGTTGAGGAGAAACGAGAGGTCTTCTCTTCACCACTTTCACAAGACGCTTGCTACCTTCAGGACTAATAATACCAGCCTTGATTAATTCCGCTCTATTTTCCTTGTATCCCTTCAAACGTAAAAACGAAGAATATTGAGAGAAAATCAAACCACCAACAGCACCCACACAAGCACCAACAACAGCGGAAGGCATTCTCTTGGGTGCGCCAGTGGCATATCCAAAAATTCCCAATCCTACACTCCACAAAGCAGAATATCCCAATTCTTTTGGTCTTGTGTATTTCATGATTTGACTGATACTAGGGTCTTCATGGATGACCGGATAGCACAAGTGTTCCTTTGATTCAATCACTCCGTCCATTTTTTTATCTTGTTGAATGTATTTTGTTCATATGACGAATAATATTATTTGATTGAATTATTGATGATGGTATTGTTGGTGTATAATATGCATCATTTGAAACGAAATCTAGAAAAGATGATCCGTATGTATATCCGAATTTTGTAGCATGACGATTCATGAAAAACACAAACGTTTGCCCACTTCCAAATC